CTTTTCCTACTAGATCGTTGAGCTTTTTCTTCCTTTGGCGTTGTCTTCCTCTTTCTAGAAGGCTTCTTGGTTTCTTCAAGTTTTTCCAAAGTCGATCGTTGCGGAGGAAAGCTAGCCTTGCTGCTTTGTTTCTTAGGTTTTGACAACCTTTCAAAAACAGAGCTTTGGGATGTTGGCGTGTTAAGCCGTTTGAACATGGAAGTTCGGTCTTGCCCACCAATACGATCAAGTGCTGAAATTCTGGGTTTTGAATGATTCAGCCTATCAAAGACTAACACTCGAATGGGAGGTTTAGGCTCCTCTTGATTTTGTTCAATGCTCACGCTGATGTGTTGAGCGCTAGCGTTTTTCGCTTTGCTTGAAATCTTCACGGGTGTATTTGGTGTGAAGCCAAGTCCAGCTTTGTTGTTGTCAACTCCGTAATCATGCTCCTTCAACTTCTTTTGAGTCTCGGTGAGGTCACGATCTTTGTCGTTGACGGTGTTTGAAACCTTCTTTCCAAGATTTGAAGAGGAAGCAAAGTCATGCCCAGCCTTTGACATGAGTTCGTAGGCGTTTGGGTTGAAGCCTTCTTCAGTCTCTTAGTTGGAAGAGAGCTTGGTTTCACTTTGACGCCATGCTGCGCCTCCAGACGGTTGATGAGTCTGGTGGTTTGCAAGTTTTTCTCCTCCGCAATCTTTATCAGCTTTGCAATTGTTTCCTTCATCTGAACCAGCTGATTTTCAATGGAGGTAGCGCCGATGGTCATGACTTGTTCTTTGTTTGAAGCCATAGAGTGTGCTTGAATATCTTGAACAGAGAAAGAGATGAGAGGTAGAGATGGTCCTACCAGGTGTGCCAAATTTGTGAACACAGAAATTTCTTGAAACAAGAACACGTGTACAAAAATAATATTTTGTATTAATGATTTTTGGGTTACGATCTCTCTAAAATTTGGTCATCTAATTCGATCTCCGTAAGATGTAGATTTGTTGATCCAAGAGCTGTCAAGGCATGATCTTGGATGAACAGTTCGAAGTTTCTTCAAGGGCCTTCGGGGTTTTGATCTTGAAGGTTGATGGAAGTTTCTTCAAGGGTCGTTGGGCTTGATCTTGAAGGTTGATGGATGAGCGGATCTTCAAGGGCTTTTGGGCTTAATCTTGAAGAACGATGATGAACGGATCTTCAAGGGCCGTCGAGGCTTGATCTTGAAGAACGGTTGGTTTTCTTCAAGGGCCGTCGGGGCTTGATCTTGAATGAACAGTTGGTTTTCTTCAAGGGCTTTTGGGCTTGATCTTGAAGAATAGATGTGCGGATTTGTTTGTTGATCCAAGGGCCGTCGAGGCTTGATCTTGGATGAATAATTGTTGAAGGGATTTTCAAGGGCCTTCGAGGCTTAGTCTTAAAGAACAGTTGTTTGTTGATCTCAGGGCCGTTAGGGTTTGATCTTGGATGAACGGATCTTAAAGGACCTACGGGGCTTGATCTTGGATGAACGATTGCCTCAAGGATTTGACAAAGAATGAAGAGTGCTTTCTCCATTCTTCGGGATTCTTGGGAATTTAGGAGTTTGATGCTTGACAACTTTAGAGTTTCAAAGCTTCAAGGATTTTGGATGTGTGGGGAGTATTCTCTTCCATTTTGGGAGTAAAGAAATGTATTTGTGAATTGGTTGATTTTAGGAACCTTGATACCTTGATGGAAAAGCCTATTTATAGGCTTTGAGAATGAATCACCACCACAAATTTTCTTGGTAAAGTAAGTGGATGATGTAGGTGAAGTGAGTGGAGGTTGTAGATGAAGTAAGTGGATGTTGTAAGTGAAGTAAGTGGATGATGTAGGTGAAATGAGTGGAGGTTGTAGGTGAAGTAAGTGAATGATATAGGTGAAATGAGTGGAGGTTGTAATTTTAATGCATTGGTCAACATTTATTTTACCAAAATTTCGATGTCTACACATATGCTAACACACAAGTTCATGCAGAGGTATTCTGACATGAATATAACTGGGTGTAATAATGATTTACGCTCTAGTACTACAATCACGTAAAGATTGACGCTATGTGCAGCACATATGAGTCCTAGGACAGGACTGACACCTACAATGGACCCAAAGTGAGTGTATGGTGCAATTTTCACATACACGTGAAAGATTGGCCCTAGCCCCAGGCGAGTACTAACACCGGTGTAACAACGATGAACATATAATGTAAACATGATCATGCCACAGTAATTCAACAATTCTAGTCAATATAATACCATTCATGACCATAAATATAATTAAGCCATCCCCTTATAGTAAACTTACCTGTGCATCTCGTAGGATTATTTCATAATTTCCTAACAACAAGACATTTCTTATAAACGTTAATTTGATTATGGCAATCATGTAGAAAATTCATTAATATATATATATATGGAAACTAACCAATATATATATACTATATAAAAGAAAAGACCCTTGCGATGTGTTTCCCCTAGAAATGAGATCATTTACGTAAATACAACATATTAATGTAATTACGCGTTTTCGTACAAAGTACGGCTAATAAAGGAATTATTTTATAACAGTCAGTGGACTTGGATTCGGATTCGGCATGTCGAGAAACCTAAGGAGGGACCTCGGGTTCCTTCATGTGCCGCCATAAGACGGCGGCTTGGAAGGCCACACGTTGCCTCTCACTTAGTTATGTCACCGAAAAGTCACCCGCGTTGCCGTGGACCGCGGTGGAGCACAATACCTCTGATGGAGGCGCATGTGCTTCACTCGTTGACCATGACGTGCACCTATACATGGTTCACGCATCGGCTCAGGAAAATGGAACTCGGTCTGGGTCGGATCTGGGCTTGGGTTGCTGAGTTGGGCCAAGCCTACATGGGTTGGATTGGGTTAATGGGCCAAGGGTTATTAGATTGGGCCCAGCAATTGGGTTGGGCTGGTTTTGGATTGCGGATCGGGTCGATCGGGTTTCAAGTCGTGGGTCGACCATATTCTATGAAGAAGAAAGCCGGAGCTTCCCAAGCTCCGATCATCACCAAATCTTAACAAAAACTAATCATTCTATATACCAAAATGAAGCTTAAGGAACAAGGATTTGAAATGTACCATTAATTTCCTCGACCGTGGCCGGATTTGATCGGAAAATGGCTCGAAGCCTCTGGGAAAATCTGGGATGTCTTCCCCGTAGCAATTATGTACCAAAACCCACATTAAGACCTTTAAGAAAGCTAGGAACATATACTAAAACATGATCCAAGACGTTTTGGATGGTTTTTGGAACTTACCATCATCGTAACTCAAGATCTCACCGGAGAAAATATAAATAGTGATGGTGTCACTGGGCAGAGCAAGAAAGAAGGAGTAAGAGGTTTCTGTCGGTAAGAGATCGCGGCTGAGGGAGTCTGGGGGTTACAGTGCTTCGGTCTCGGCATCGGTGGTTATATAAAGAGATGGGAGTGCTAGTGTGAGAGAGACGGGAGAGAATAGAAAGGAGAGAGGGAGTCCCGATTTGTGGTGGAATAGAGCAAATGTAGTAAGGAGAGAGTAGGGAGTTTTTGGGATGTGTGGGTCCCATGAGCCAAATATAAATTAATAAATATTCAAAATATCCAATAAGAAAATATTAAAACAATAATAGAATAATATAATAATTTCAAAAAATATATAAAATATGAAATGGTAATTTTTCACAAAAGTATTTTTCGGACTCGTAGTTCCTCAAAATCTTCATCGTAGCTCCAATTTCGATTTCGCTTGCGCCTATGCATTTGTATCGTCAAGTACTTCGAGAATACAATAAAGTAATAGCTCAAACGCGTCATGAACTAACAGTCAATGAAAGTCAATAATCTCGCCTCTAGGGTATTTTCATCAATTCACTCTTCTAAAATTAATAAAATCGTAGAAGTAGGGACGGGTTGTCACGATCTACCTACCTTAAAAAAATTTCGTCCCCGAAATTTGAAATATGTTGCTATACATAAAATACTCAAAGATAGAAAGAAATATATATAAAGAAGAATTCAAGCTAGAGTGGTTGCATAAAAGAGAATGTCATTCTGTCACGATCGGATTGCAATGATTCCTCTTCCATGCCTCCAAACTCAAACTTTCGTTCTCCTTCAATACAATACTAAAATATACTACTTTTGATGAAAACATAAAGTCGAAAATATTTATATATGTTTAATAACATTACGTCAAAATACATAGATATATATATATATATAAAACGTAAAGTTAGAATAATTGTACTGAAATTAAAACTAAAAATAGAAAAAATTTCACCTACACATTCGTAACGTCACGTACTCCGAGAATAAGCGTGTAGTATCTAAAAATGCCAACATAAAAGGATTTACTTGTCCACTTACTTAACGAACCCAACGAATAAGTTATTGATATTACGGTCTACAGCCCGCGATATCGATAACTCAATATTGTCTCGATAAGCAAGCAACAAATTCCTGAGAATGCAATATTACCATTTTGCCCCTCATTGGGAAATACATATAAATTGTTTGATTAGCGCCTCGACCGCGCTCACGTATTACCCTCTCGGGCGATAACACAAATAAATAAGAATTTTGTGACAGAGAAGTTGAAGACAATTCAATAAATGTGGGCAAAACATCGCTTGATAAAATTGTATCCATGGTAATTTTGAGAAGACAACCTTTGAATTTGGAAGTTTGCTTGGCAATTGGTGTGCGGCTCCACTGTTTTCTCCTCCTCCCTGGGTTTTGGTTTTGGGTGTAATTAGATTAAATTATAAGGGTGTTTGTATCTATTTAAGTGAATTTTTTGATATATTTGAAAGCTTTTATAGAAATTAATATTTTTGAAATTAAGGATTAATTTTTAGCTATCAATGATAATAAGTTAATAACCCTTAGCCACTCCCACCTCTTTAGCAAAATAATATGGTTTGTTAAAAAAATAAAAAATCAAATCGTTAACTGTTTTTCTCCCAAATCCCAAAGAAATCATTAAAACCGTTTAACTAACACATCAATAACGGCGTCGCCATCGACCGGTAAAAGAAAAATTAACGGCTACATCATTCACGGCAATTTGAAATTTAAGCGGTTACACAATGAAACCCAACCCAAAAGAGCGATCCCTCCTCTCTCTCTCTCTCTCTCGTTCATCGGAAGACTTCCTTCTCGTCTCAGTTGTCTGTTCTCCTCTCACTCATCCCCTCCCCCCAACCCCAAACAAAAGGAAAACAGAAACCCCCACTGTCAAAATCGCAGTGATAGTGACAAGAAAGATAGTCGGCGACACTGCGGCGGTACCGAAACAGAGCACTCCTATTTCTTCTAGGTTTTTTCCCGAAATCCCACTTTCTGTAAATTTTTCGTTCCTCTTTCTCAATTCTTTTTTCTGGGTAAGCCTTAATCTTGGAAATTTGAAAGTTTAATCAAATGGGTTTTGTTTGTTTTCCTGATTTCTTCATGGGTTTTGGTTCTCACTAATGAAGTTTGTTAATTTTCTGTGAAATTCAGATCTCTTGGAGCAGAGAAACACAGAAGAAGAAGCACTGTAATATTGAGAAGAAGATTTCGATTCTTGAATTTGAGAGGGTAAAATTAAACTTCAGTTAACTTTTCTTCAATTTCTTCAACTGGGTTTTCATTTTTCGTTTTCATTTCTTCGATTTCTAAGCGAATGTTAAATTTTCTGGACATTTTCAGGTGGCTTTTGCAGATTCTTTGCAAGGATGAATGATTTGATGACCAAATCGTTCTTAAGTTATGTGGAACTGAAGAAACAGGCGCAGAAGGACCTCGAAGCGGATCTTGATGTCGAAGCAGGCGCAGGCAAACTCAACCCGTCCGGCCAAGAAAACCTCTCTCAGTTCTTCCAAGAAGTCGGAGCAATCAAGGCCGACATGGAAGAGATCACCAATCTCTTGCACGGTCTCCAGTGCCTGAACGAAGAGGCAAAGTCCACACACAGCGCCAAGATTCTGCGCGGGCTTAGAGACCGGATGGAGTCTGACATGGTTGCAGTGCTTCGGAAAGCGAAGATTATCAAGGCGAGGCTCGAAGCGCTTGATCAGTCTAATGCGATCAACAGAAGAAAGTCCAATGCGTACAAGGAAGGAAGCACTGTGGATCGAACTAGAATGTCCATCACCGGTGGCTTGAGAGTCAAGTTAAGGGACCTGATGGACAATTTTCAATATCTGAGAGAGAAGATAGTTTCGGATCATAAGGAAGATCTCAAGAGGAGATACTACAGCGCAACGGGTGATTTGCCATCCGATGAGATGATTGAAAAGATTATTTCTGGAAGCTTGAAAGTTGAGTTGTTCGAAGGGAAGACAGAACTGGATATGGGGAACAAGGTCCGACATGAGGCGGTGATGGATATCCAAAGAAGTCTGACAAAGCTTCATCAGGTGTTTCTCGACATGGCTGTTTTGGTTGAGGCACAAGGGAAAGACATTGAAAATATCGAAGAGAATGTGGCGAATGCTGGTTATTTCATCAGTGGAGGCACAAATAGTCTTCATTATGCCAGCCAGATGAAGAAGAACAAGAAGTGGGTTTACTGGGTGTGGGCTGTGGGACTGATTATACTTATGGTTTGCATTATTTCGATGTTCGCCTCATGATTAGAACGGAGTCGGTACAATTTAGGGCTTGGTCCTGTGCAAGCATGTCTTTAGTGAGCTTTCTGAGCTCATAGAGTACTTTTCTTGACGCGATTCGTGGTTCTGTTAATCGACAGAAATGTTAATGAGAACTAGATTTGATTTATTGATTTTAGCATTTGAAACTCTGTTCTGGTGATTATTTTTTTTTCACTTTGGTTAATTCAGTTTTTGCTTTATTCTAGTGAATTTGTTTAAGAAAATCAGGCTTAATCTCACACTTTTTTGTAGTGCAGTGCCAGATTTTTCTAGAGAGAGAGAGAGAGAGAGAGAGAAAGCGAGGGGGAGGGAGAGAGAGAGAGAGAGAGAGAGGGGATACAACAGGATCACCAACTGAAAAGGAAACCTTATATTCAGAATTGAAGGAATATCCAGGATCGATCATCCATTATTGATGAGCTTTGCTTGTTTTGTAGCTTAAAAGTTTTTGTGTAACAACAATAAAAGACTTGAAAACAAAGATGATATATTATTTTTACAAAATTGAATAACGGGGACCAGGCACTCTTCAATTAATGCTAAGATGTTGCGTAGCAGTCCACGTCTTACCAGGCTCTAGTTGTACGTTTCCAATCTGATATGGACATGAAGAGGGAGACAGAGATTATGTTTGAGTTAGAATCGATACATTCATTAGATAAAATATATATATATAATTGGTATACAGTTCATGGTACATGAGGAAGAATATCTAAAGATTGTTCAATACAAATAGTATCTCATTGCTGACTGATGATGGCAACGTATATCAATTTATGGACATCTTAATCTTAAAGAGAAATATAACCACTCAGTAGTTAGTCGAGTTCCCTGTTTGGATACATCAGCATTTTTAGCAGGCAGTATCACATAGACAATTCCAATTTTGATCAAGTTCACAGAGTCAGTATCGAAGAAACAGGGAAGTTATTACCTTTGCATTTTCGACACAAACAAAATCTTTGTAGCATGCTTCCATTGTCAGATATGGGTTCCACAATACAGCATCTGTCCAACTACATAGAGAAAAAGGATAGGGGCGTCAAACAAGTGGAACAGAGAAAATTTTTTACCAAACAAATCAAATTAAGATTTAGACTTACTTTGTGTTCTTGATAGATATTACATCACCTAAGCCATTATCAAGATGTAACTCATTAGGGGCATCCAGGTATACGCAATCCACGAATCCAGGAAAAGTGATCACATCCCTGTGTCATTAAGATACCAATCAGAAATGCCTAGCAGTCTGTGCCGCAAGATTTCAAAAAATAGTGCTGAAAAGTGACTAAGCTATGACAAAAGCATTTTATTTATTAAAACCTACTGCCCTAATCAAACCTTATTCACCCAGCCAACAAACTGAGGAAAGCATTGAACTCATTTCACTTTTTTCATGTGATAAAAGCATGTAACGAAAATGATACATGCCTTTCTTCCTTGCCCTCCAGTGGATTCTTGGGATCAGGATCTTTATTTAGCGTTTTGCATCCTTTCAAACCATTAACTGATGCCCCTTGTACAGCGGCCTGCATGATAAAGGTTAAATGTTACTGATACAATCATTTATACAATCCCATTTTACGTTATCAATTTCATAATCTTTGCTGAGGATCCTAGTATTTTCAGACTTTTGAAGTCATTAGAAGAAATATATGAATAGACGAATCATTTCCACCTCAAATTATTCCTCTACACCACACTGCTAATTTAGTTATGCCAGAATGATAACTGAACCCCTGAGCATAAGATAATTGTACTTACGCGGAAGTATGTATGCAATGCGGTGCTGAATGAAAATGGCTTGCTGTCTGTATTTTTAATTGCAAGTTCAGTGGAAAGGCTCTTTGTTTGCAAAGTGACCTGCAACCATTGAAACACATTAGAAGTTTTGTCCAATCCAGGTTATGGAAAATGCAATATCATATGGAGTCAATAAAATTATGACCACAAGTACCATTTTATACATGTGGTGTAACATAGTATTGTTGTGTAGTAAATGTGCATGCCAAGGGAGCTAGACAATTATCATTTTCATAGAGGGATACGTGCAACTGACCTTGTACAAAGCTTGAAAGCTGAAATTCCACATGGAGCGACTGTATTCACCATCCTTTAGTTCTAAAGTTATGGTAGGATCTCCTTGCACATTTTCAGAATCAATGACGGACCAGTCCAGATTTCTTGCAAATCCGTGCTGTTAATTGAAAGCCTCAGAACAATAGCGAAAACCAAATAATGCAGTCATGTATAGCCAGAACAAAGATCTGGATCTCCATATGAGAATCTTTGATGGAAGCAACAATGTCACTAGACTTGCTACTACAATATCACATCAGGCAACTATGGTTTGTAAAATTTATCAAGAAATCAATCAACCACCATTAAACTTCAAATCCTAGTAGCCTATATACAAAAACATCCATCAACTGCCATTTCCTGGGTTTTAAGTGTTTAGGTTTCTAACTCTGGCACTTATCAGAATGAAGTATCTGCTAGCTCCCTAATATCAATTTAACTTGTAACATTAAAGACCGAAAGAAGACAATAGTATAGAAACAGAATTAAAGGAGTGTACCTGCTGCATAGGGCCTGGTCCAAACTGTGGAAAACAATGTGGAACGCCTCCACTATCCCAAGAGAGAATAGTCAGTATCTCAACGAAAATTCCAAGCTTTCAGGCAAAATGATTATTCAGAGGCACACACTTAACAAACAAATCAAAGGAATTTCAGACCCCTTTGGAACATACAAAACACAACGAGATGAAACCACATTTGATATTTCTAAAGTAAACCAAGTAACTTGTGAATGATCATTTCCATTTTTCACATTTTAGCAAACATAACAAAGTCAATAGGTGCTTCAAACCCAACAGATACATCAAGAACTTAAGCTTATTGCCTTCAATGACTCAAATTTAAACAGACACGAATAACAATTTATGTTCGAAATGAACCCACGAATTCGAAAACAACCTGATTGGTTTCTTCTTGTTGAACACCGCATCAGGTCTAATAAAAAGGAGGTCTCTCCCATTTGGGACTTTCCATGAAGTAATAACACCACCATATAAATATACATCTGCCTCACTGCAAGCATCAACACTCATCAACCCATTAAATTAACAAAAAAAATTCAAATTTCCGTTTCCAAATGCAAATTCAACCACAACCCACAAAGTCAACACAATGTACCTGCCGCAGGCGCTGGTCAAAACAACCTTTGGCAATTTCTCTTCTCCCTCTGCAAATTTCACCCCCGCAGTGGCGAGCTCTTTGCTGGCGGGGCCGCTTGCAACAGTCATCACGGACGACGACGTTTTTGGCGTTGTTTGCCAAAACCTGGTGTTTGTGTGACGTGAATTTTACAGGGAGGCGAGCTTATGAATGACCGAGTTGAAAGAAAGACAGAGAGAGAGAAATGAACTCACCGGTTGACTCGGCGGGGGTTCGGAGAAGTGAGGGTGGGGAGCGAAACGAGCATAGAAACCGTCACCATCGCCATCTTCTTCGTCGAGTGGATTGTTTTGTGGCAGTGTGTGGTTCCACTCCATATGCTCAAATCTTCTTCTGTGACTGTTGGGTGTGCTACCACCCGCCAAGCCCAGTGATCAAACAATAGAAATTCGGATATTCTTTTAGTGGGTTGGACCGGTTCGTTCCTCTTATTTACGCGTTCCGTTTTATGTACGGACTCATTCATTCTCACACGTCATCGATTTAAACAAAATTAGTAAACAAACACAAGAATTCAAAGGAAATAATTTCTACATACTTTTTTCTTCTCTTATTTCACATGTGTTTATTTTTTACGTGGATACTCTCTTGCTTTATTTGATCTAAAAACAATATATAAACATAATTGTGCTTAAACTGGAGTGTTAAAATCATTTTCCTTTAGCAATTATCTTCATGTATATATCAACAAAAAGATTATATTGCAATTAAACAACAGAAGTTAACTATTAATTTAATGATACTGTAATTTTTACTATTGAAAGATTTGAAGTTCTAATCCTCAATATCGTTGTATCGGAGAAACGGTCTAATTGGAGTTGTTGCAACCCGGTTTTGACAGGTCGAACCAACCCCAAATGATGTCCGGAGCCCGCTGTTCAATGTTGCAAGGCCCATGGGCCATGGAGAACAAGTATCACGGCAGCAACAGCCCAACTTTGGCCCCAACAGAAGCGCAGATCAAAATCTGCAGCTAGTCGAGTTCGAGAAATGAACTTTGAATTCTCCGATGAAAGGAGGACTGGGATCCCTGGTGAAGGGGCCTTGTGCGGTTAACGCGATCATTCAAAAGCTGCAGAGATGCATGAGCAGCGGAACCGCCGCAGTCATGAGCTTTGGCGACGGAAACCACGGTGCTCTGGGCCTGCCGACTTCCCTCATGGGACTCGGCGTCGACGCTTACGAGCCCATCCGGGTCCCTTCTCTGCCTCCTGATGTCACCAGCGTCGCCGCCGGGCACTACCACTCCCTCGCCGTCACTTCCCAAGGGCAGCTCTGGTCTTGGGGCCGAGACCTTGAAGCCCAACTCGGCCGCGGACCGCCTTCTCCCAGGTAAAAGCCTTCAGCTTTTCAGCTTAACTGAGCTCTAAGATTCAACATAAGCTTACCCTTTTAACCATTTTTCGAAGGCCCTAAGTGATAAAAGAAAGAAGATGAGTTTATTTCTTGTGGTTTTGCATCAATTGGTGAAGATTAACTATGAAAGTGCTTTTTTTGGTTGTTGGTCAAGATTTTATGTGATTAACCATGAAAGTGCTTTTTTTTTTTGTTGTTGGTCAAGATTTTGTGATTCATCATGGAAGTGCTTTTTTTTTTTTTTTTTTTTTTCTGTTGATGGTCAAGATTAAGTGACTAACCATGACAGTGCTTTTTTTTGTTGTTGGTCAAGATAAAGTGATTAACCATGAAATGAAAGTGCTTTTTTGTTGTTGTTCTTCTTGAGGCCCCTCTTTTGAATTGAGTTGTTGGATCTTCATTGGATTTCTGAGAATTTTCATTCGATTGGTTGCTACCACATTTTACTGTGAATTATGGAATTGTAAGTTACTGCATAATAAGGTTTTGTTGTTGGTCGCAGAGATTCATGGAATGAACCTAAGAGAGTAAC